CTATCTCTATCTCTATCTCTATCTCTATCTCTATCTCTATCTCTATCTCTCTCGTTCTCCTTCTCCCTGTCTCTCCCCCTTCCCTCCCCACCTCCTCCTCTCTCTCAGGATTTCTCTCAGAAATCCTCTCAGACAGAATTTCTTTGTGTAGCCCCAGCTATCCTGGAACTTGCTTTGTAGTCCAGACTGGCCTTGAACTCAGAGATCCACCTGCCTCTACCTACTGAGTGTGGGATTAAAATTGTGCCCACCACCACTGCTCAGCCTGGCCTTACTGCCCCCCCCCCAAGACTCAGTAACCTCCCAAACCAGTGACAACAAACAAAGCTGGACTCTTCACACTCATGAGGGACACTTCAGCTTCAAGCCATAACAGTTACTGAGATGTTGCTCTAATGCAGAGAGAATCTTGCATCCTGGTTCATGTCCCATTGACATATGACATCAAATTTTATTTTAGAATGTAAATATGTGGTGGGGTTTTACTATTTAAACTTCCAGAAAGTAGCCTTTCTTTAACCATTCAGGAGGGGTGTGTGAGGTCATTTGACTAAGGTCTCCCAAGATGCCTGTAAAAGGAGAAGCCAAATCAACGTCAGAGAACTATGCTCAAGGCTTGTGTGTTTGCAGAGGAGTCAGAGGGGCTCTAGTCTGACATATTTCGTTTAAAGTGTGTAAAGAAACTGCCAAAGTGTCTCCTATTTGGACTTTACCCAGACTCATAAAGATTCCTGAGTTTCAAGATGTGTGTATACATTTGTCTTATTACATCTGTTGTTACCTTTGTCAGGTGCTCCAGGGGACCCAGGACCCCCTGGCCACTATGGAGAGATTGGAGATGTTGGACTACTGGGTCCTCCAGGGCCCCCAGGCAGACCAGGAGAAAGTTGTCCAGGTATGAATGTATCATGTGTTACAGTGGATTTCCTGCATTGTGCCTATGCATACCAGCTGTAATCCTCAATTCTAGCTGATCAAGAGGTGTCCTTAAGAGTGTTTATAATGGATAGCTTCCTGTGTCCTCTCCAGGCCCCCAGTGTTAAGCTCGCTTGTCATAGCAATAGCCCTGGGTTTCTAATGTGTTCTTATTCAAACTAACCATGGGAAGGAATATAAGTTCCCTTTTGCACATGTATGCACACACACACACACATGCACACACACACACATACACACACACGTACTCACACTATCTCCATCAATCAGAACTGTCATGAAGCAAGCCTTTGTTTCATAGGCCTTCCATCAGATTTGCTCTTGCAGAAAAGATTTGGAACTTCTGCTAGGACTGAAGTATTTACTTAGTTGTACTATTGTTCTGGAAGATTCTCTCAGTTGATATCTACTTGCAAAATTCCATCCATCTACCCAGGTCCTCCTAATATTCTATGTGAGATGCATGAATAAACATAATGATTTTAAAAACCTTAGATACAGCCTTACTTAAGGTGAAGGCTCTTCCTCCTCCACTCAAAGAAAAAGGGAATCAAGGAAAGCTTAGGTCATTTGACAGAAGCCTAGGGTCTTGTGGGCATTAGGACTAAGGAACCCTTTGGGAGCTGGTCAATACTCCAATGAGATCAGGAATAGAGGCGTGAAGCCTTTTTCTATTCTGTGAACCCAGAAGGATGGACTTGAGTAAACCTTTTGCCCAGCTGTATCTCTTGTATTTACCCAAGAAGTGTAAGAACTTTGGTAAGCTACTCAATCACTAGCTGTCAAATTCTTGTTCACTTCACAAATCTAGCTCCTTCCTTTTTCAGGGTCTGACAACAGCAATGCCAGCAAGCCTTGTCTAGATCAGTCAGACAGAAGGAGGCTGTAATCGGAGTTTAAAAGACCCAGGATTATATAAGCTAGGGAAAATATTCTCTTGGTCAGAAAACATTGAACTCCTGTCATAGCCTTCTCCACTGGGGCTTGTTTATTATAAAATCATATCTCCAGTGGATTGAAATCAAAACCCACTAGGAACAACATATTCAAATATACAGGGATGCTCTTAATTCCTTTTGGAAAATAAATTAATCCTATGTTTGGAAGATGGCTCAGTCAGGAAATTGCTTCTAACACTAGCAAGAGGGCCTGAGTTCAATCCCCAGATCCCACCCTGGTGTGGAGATGCACTCTTAGAATCCCAGAGCAGGTGAGGCAGAGACAGGCAGATTCCTGGGTTCACTGGCCAGACAACCTTGCCAAATTGATGAGTTCCAGCCCAATGAGGGACTCTATTTCATAAAAGACGGGCACATCCTGTGGCTGAGCTCTGGCTTCCACAGGCATACACACATACCTGCACATGAGTCCCCTCACTTGAGTACACAGAGACACATAGTCACACAAATCCAGTTAATCCAGTGGCTTTTGAATCTGAATACGGGCCATAGTGTGTTCATATTTCATTATACAAGTGTACACACATATTCACACTGGTTAAACTTCAGACTTCACAGGATCATTTTTGGGACATGACATGCCCTATTTTCTTTTCTACTCTTTTACTCTGAAAAACAAACAAACAAACAAACAAACAATCAAGTTAATGCTAGCCCACTTAATTGACTCTGTGTGATTCTGTTGGGTGGCCAGGCTACATGTGTCATATATTCTAGCTCACTGCCTCTGTTGAAGAGGGTTGGGTACTGCTCCTGGTATGGGACAAAGTAACAGGTAGTACCTGGGTTATCCAGCAACTGTGAAGGATCCTGGCAGATCTCAGGAAGGGCAGGAAGATCGATGACATCCAAGTCACAGAGAAATTTTCCTTTGGCGTCAGTATACCAGTGTATAAGGACTCTGTTTTCTTTAGCAGTTACCCACTTTATCTTGCATGGGATGAGTGGGGTTCAGAGTCAGACACTTGCAATTGGATCAAGCCTTGTTAGAGTATAGTGGAAGACAGTGAACTATCTACTACAACATTCTAGTTACCACACTCTACAAACTATGTTACCCTGGGCATTTACTGTGCCTCTCTGTACCTCGGTTTTCCCACCTATAAGATGGGGTCTTGTTAGGATTGGAAGATGTGGTATGTGTACAGGATTTAGGATCCAACCTGACGGGCAGTAAAGAATTAGTGTGCGAGCTGTTATTACTACTACTGATGCTATCTGCGCCTGCTCTGCCATAGAGGTACATAGTGGAGAGATCACTGCAATCCAGCAGATGAACACAATAGCACACACAGTCATTATTTGTGTGTGTGTGCGTGTGCATGCCTGAAAGCCTTTTTAAAAGTGACCTCTCCTACATAGGTGATAAAGAGAGCAGATATTTTATCCAATAGATTTGCTAATAGGTTTGTTTGGATTAATTTAGTGAGTTAGGAGGATAGAACGATTGAAGAATAGAATACTTTCAAATAAGTGAAATATATTGGTCCCAGTAATCCTAAAGAATGGGGGAGAGATAAGAAAACGTGGTCCCCAGTTCCTGTGGGCTTCCACTTGCAGCTTCTTTCAAAGGCAGCGGTGCCCTTTGATATACAGGATAATCAAGCTTTAAAAGATTTTTATCATTTATTTTTAAGAGAGAGAGAGTGTGTGTGTGTGTGTGCACATGCACGTGCATGCACGTGTGTGTGAACCAATGCTCTCCGAAGCCAGAAGAAGGTCTTTGGCCCCCTGGATCTGGAGTTATAGACGTTGATGAGCCACTTGATGTGGGTTCTAGGAACTAAACTCTGGTCATTTGGAAGAGCATCCAGTGTTCTAAAACACTGAGTCATGTCTCTTGTCTCAAGTTTATTATTATTATTATTGTTGTTGTTGTTGTTGTTGTTGTTATTACTTTCTATATCCTGCTCTTCTTTTTCTTTAATACAATTTGCTCAGATTATTCTAGCATGGCTCCTGCTGTCTAACTAGCAATCAGCCTTGTGAAAAAGCAGGGCTTTTGGTCTGTTTTTTATTTGGTGATACACTCTATGTAGCCCAGGCCAGCCTCAATCTGTGATCCTTCTGTCTGCATTTCCCAAGCCCCTCCTCCTTTCTCTCCCTCTGAAGTTTGTTGACTTCCCCTTGACCTAAAATTGTGTTTGTGTAATGCATACAACCCAGTGTCCTGCACACAGCCAGATGATTACCACAATCTAGTGAATTAACTCACTGGCCACGCCTGCACCCTCATTATTGGCTTGTGTGCATGTGTGTCTGCATGTGTATAGAAGGAGGATTTTATTTAAGATCTCTCTTCTTAGAAGCGGGGAAGGTGGTAGGGGAGGTATGGGAGGAGGAGGTGACTGGGAGGAAGGCAGTGAGCTACATATCATGTGAATAAGTTAAAAAAACATAAATGAATGCAATAGAAATTTAGAAGATTAAAAAAAGGAAATTGAAGAATATAGTATAATGTGAAAAGATACCATGATCATGGATTGGAAGAATTAGTATTGCCAAAAATCTCTATACTTCCTTAAGAAATCTAAAAGCTTAATATAAGTGTCATCAAATTTCCAATGACATTTTTCTGTGAAGGGAAGGACCTGGTAGACATAACATTGAGTAAAGTAGCCCAGATATGGGAAAATGAAAGGTCTCTCCTCTTAGCGACTTCCAGTATGCAGTGGCTTGTTCACTGCTATCTGCATACTGTACAGTAGACCTCCAGGATTTATTCAGCTCACTGGAAACTCTGTCCCCTGGTTCAACACCTCCATATTCCTCACTTCCTTCCTCCCCTGCAACTGCCATTCTGCTCTACAGTCTATGAGTCTGACAATGTTAGAGTCCACATGTATGTGAGGTCACAGGGTGCTTTTTTGTCTCTGTGTCTGGGGCTGGTTTCACTAGGTGTGATGTCCAGTTCCAGCCATTTTCCTCTAAGTGTGCTGATTGTAACTTCTACCAAAACGTATACTCTTGAGAACATGGGTAATTTCCACCCTTAATTGTCCTTGTAGGCATGATGGGACCTCGTGGGCCACCAGGGGTTCCAGGTCCTCCAGGATTTCCAGGGGAAGCTGGTGTCCCTGGAAGACTCTACTGTGTCCCAGGAGAACCTGGGAAGCCAGGACTACCGGGCCTGCCTGGAGCTCCAGGACCACAGGGCCCCCCTGGATCAGATGGTAAAATGTTCCTCCTTTATTGTCATTAGCTCTATGCTGCAATTCACACTTACAGGTTCATTCAGAAAGTATGGTTTTCTAAATACTTAAAAACTTACATAATATTTCATCAGTCAGGTTAGTCCTATTAAAATTCTTCTTATAAATATGAAAAATGATATTGAACTATCAATTAAAATATGTGCAATTTATTGCGAGTTCATGAATTGATAGATTCTTGTTTTGTCAACATAGTTTTTGATTTTTTAAAAAATTTTTGGACTTACATATGGGCTTGGTTCAAAAGTCAAACTGTTTTTAAGGCTCATTCTTCAAAGAGATGCGAGGCTGTGTCTTCTGTTCTGTCCTCCTCAGGGACAGCTGTCTTCACAGATGTAGTTGGATCCTTGGATACATTGTCATCCAGCACATGTGTATTTCTGTTACTAAACTTTTTGCCTTGCTCATTGGCTTTTGGCTCCTACAGAGTGACCGTCGTTCACCACACCCCATTCTATGTGCACATCTTTCTATTCCCACTGCCTCCTGGGAGTGATACTCTCATAATTTGGGTTATGGAAATATTCAGTGTTTCCATAAAATGGTATAAAAGTGCTACCCACAGGTTTTGCCTATAGTAGTACATTTATTATTAATTTTTATAGCAACATTTGGTAAATTGTCCTTTGTGTGTGTGTCCTTCTGTGTTTGACTGGCTTTCAATTTAGTTATTTGAAATTAACCTCAAAGCTCCCAGAGTTTTGTATCTGTCATCATTGTATACTCTAACTCATAAATAGATTTACAATGTTACTTGTTTTGTTTTGTTTTCTGAAACCTTCTTTCCTTATGTAGCCCTGGCTGTCCTGGAACTCACTCTGTAGACCAGGTTAGCCTCCAACTCAAAGATCTGCCTGCCTCTGCCTCCCAAGTGCTGGGATTAAAGGCATGCACCACCATTGCCTTGCATAAGTGTTATTTTTAAAACAAATGTTTCCTGGAGCTTTTTGACTTTTCAAATTAGCAATGCTGCACTTTTGGCTTACTGCTGACATACTAGGTGTTTTTTATTCATTGTCATTTTTTAAATTACTCTTATAACATCTGGTACCACTTAAACACACTATATGGAAAAAAGGATAAGAAAAATGTACATGTGATTGATGTCCTTGGCCTCCCTTCCGCTTCGGCTTTACATGCTCTGCCCCTCCCCCCATAGTAACTCCCTTTTCTTTTCATATCTCATGTATTCCTTTGTCCACTCCATGCCTTCCTTTAAAGCAGTGGTTCTCAACCTTCCTAATGCTGAGACCCTTTAATACAGTTTCGCATGTTGTGGTGACTCCTAACCATAAAGTTATTTCATTGCTACTTCATAACTGTAATTTTGATACTGTTATGAATTGTGATGTAAGTATCTGATATGCAGGATATCTGATGGGTGAGCCTTGTAGAATGGTCATTGGCCCTGAAAGAACTGCTGCCTTTAAGCCTCTTCCCCCCACCCCTCTCTGTTTCTTGATGTTTCTCCTCACTAGAATACACATGTTTAACCTTTAAGAAGCTAGAATCTACACAGGAGACTAAAACAGCACATTTGTCTTTCTGAGCCTGCATTTCCTTGGTATTATAGTTTCTAGTTCCATCCATTTGACTGCAGATCTCATGATTTCATTGTCCTTAAACATGGAATAAAATCTCATTGGATATATAAACCACATGTTCACGATCCATTTGTGTGTTGATAGACATGTAGGCTGGTTCTGTAGTTGGTAATATGGAAAGAGTAGAATAAACCTGAGTTTATTGTTATTCCCTCTGTATCTCTCTGGCGATTTCCTTTCTACCAGTTATATTTCTTTTAATTGTCTACTGCCACACTAGACTTCCAGAAAAAAAAAATAGAAATACTAGAGGAAAACCAGGGGATCACACTTATCTGAAAATATCTTTGTTCTACTGGATTGTCTGATGGATAGCTTAGCTGAGCATAAAGCCCTGGGTTGGATATCTTTCTTCTCAGGATTTCATTTTCTAGCCTCCAGTGAGAGCACTGAAAACTTTTGTATGGTTTCAGTGCCTGGTCTTATGTTTGAAATCTATTTCTATTTTGGAATTATTTTTTTTTTTACAATTTTCATCAACTCTGTCTTCCAGCAGAATTTATAGATTTCTTCCTGCCATAATTCCTGTGTGTATTTTTATTTCTGAAAGTTCAGTTGGTGCTGTTGTTTTCTTCTGGTGTTTCTTTTTGCAGCAACCTGTTTACTTTTCAGTGTGAAGTAGTTCTCTCTATTTTAATTACGTCATTTTTTTAAACAGTATTTTTCTTGAAACTCTTTTGTTTACTCCAGGTTTTTGAAGGGTTATTTTATTTTTCTGCTACAATTTTTTGAGACAGGTCTTCCCATATAACTATTTCATTATCAATCCATTTCTTTAGCCTCACTGGCATTTTTTAATGCAAGCTCCAGGGGAGATTCTGGTGTGAAACTTGGTTCTTATTTTCTTTTTTAAATTTTTCTCTTGTCATTTTCCACTGATACTTGATCTTTAAGGTCTACTGGAATTGTTTTTTTAACCTTCTATTGCTGTTGGTATTTTACAGTCTTTTATCCCTCGGAAATTTCAGGAGACTGTAGATTGTATCATATGAGTTTATCTGTCATCTTTAACTAGATCTCTCAAAATTTTTGCTTTTGCAAGCTATGTTGTGTATTTTCTTCATTATCTGGTAATTGGTAAATCAAGGAGAAAAAAAAACATTCATTGCCCTATACTGACTCTGGCTTCTGTTGATCATGATTTATTTTGCTTTTCTATTTGTTATTGACATCTAATGTGTTATTCTGGAGCTCGCTAACTTAGGGCTGACATTAAGGATGACTTCATCAATGATGGTGGTAGAAATATGTTGTTACAATTGCATTGTCGATATGTGTAGAAAGAAAGGGAGAGTGGGAGGGAGGAAAGGATGGAGAAAGGAAAAGGAAGAAGAAGAGGGGGAAGGAGGGATTGAGAGAGAGAGAGGGAAGGAGAGAGAGAAGGAGGGAGGGAGGGAAGAAGGGAGGGAGGGAGGGAGAGAGGGAACTGGCAAATAGGAAGTCATGAAATAAAACATGGGGCAGAGACAGGAAACAGTAGGAAGAGACAACAAGTGCCCTCACTGGTGTCCTCTGGGAGACTTGAACTAAGTCATGTGATTCTGTCTGCCAACTCCTTGCCTCTAAACAGTGATATATTGTCGCCCTGGGCTCCCTGGACCAATGGGAGAAAAGGGAAAAATGGGGCCCCCAGGAAGAAGAGGAGCCAAAGGAGCAAAAGGCAAGTATGCACGCAAGATGAAATGTATACACAGCAGCCACATATAGAGGGCCAGGTGGGGGTGTCTATGGGAAGGACATCCTGCCATGACATTATCACTCATCCCTGTTACTCCCTTGAGGACTGCATGTCACTGTGTGTTGTAGTATGAGTAAGTCTCCACAGCTCACATTCTTCTGTCAGAGTAAAGCTTCATGCCCTTTGTCATTCATGACCCACTTTTAGTTGAGACTTTTTTTGTGCAGCTTCAAGTGTATGGGTATATAAAATAGGCATGCATATCCAACCTCAACAGATAATAAACAATCGAGAAATTGGTTTCAAAATAATTCTTTAATACACATAGTATTATTTATTAAATATGTAAACAAGTTTGCATATGAATGAGGTAGAAATGTTTATTTTTATGTAAAGAATTAAATCTAGGCTGAATGTTTAATGCTACAAGATGTAGATCATCTTCACTGATTTTTTTTAAGAGTAAAGCAATGTTTCGAATATTATGATCAGTGCTGAGAACATTGCTTTGCATAAATACAAAGCCTAAAACTACAGAAGTATATTTAGGCTCATTTTAGGAAAGTCTGTCCTAATCCCAAGCTAAAATTTATTTGCAACTTTTTAAGAACTCAAGTCAGAAACTCTAAAGGAATTTTTAAAGTTAAACATTTTAACATAACCTAATCCAAAGATGCATCAATTGAATATTTAGATGCTGAGGTGTGATGGTAAGAGGATAGTAAAAGGCCTTCTCTGCATAACGAAACCACTGTGTTTGTGAAAGAGGAGAATGTTTGTGGATACTGTAGCAACACTGCAATTCCCACCACAGGACACAGAGGAATCTGAGATGAGGGACTTCAGGCAGCATGCATTGGTGTTGTGTCATGGCATGCAAAGTGCACGTGTTGTGTGTTTAGAAAAATGCCACAGTGAAGTCATGAGATCCAGCATGGGTGAGCGCCGGCATAGACATCTTGGACTCACTTTGGATTATTTTTATCATTGCCTTTCGCCATTATAATTTTTTTGTGACCTTCCATATTTGGTCATACAATCTCATATAGGGTTGATGCCACCAGTTTATAAAAGCAGGGTTTTAGAGTATAAAGGCCACACATTTTTTTCCTCAGGGGGCAAATTTGTTCACAAAGTCGTCTGTGAAGACCAGGCTTTATTGGTGTTTTAATGGAGCCTTTCTCTGTGGATCTCATGCTTTCTGGACTCACCAAATGCCTGTGGCTATGTCTCTCCTCTCTAGCTTGTCAGAGCCTTTTGGACAACTGAGTCAGACAGTATGAGAGCATGGACACAAATCAATTTGACTTTCCCAAACTTTCTTTTTCAGGCTTAAAGTCTTGATCATTAGGGAATGTTTTGTAGTGAATTAGCACTTGTGATGTAACCAATTCATGCATTGGGTTTCTTTGATTATTAAGGGTCATGCTATAATTAATTTATCTATACATTTAATGTAATTGACTTATTTTTGTTTCCTCAGTAATCGATAAAAAAGAATCATCAGAACTATATGTTAGCTTTGGGAGTTTAAAGCACAATATATGTGACTCTGTTCACTTGGAAAGTGTGTGCCGATCCCACCTAGACCATGTGACAGACGAATCCACACTTTGCCCAAAGCGTCATTTCAGCCTTCATGGACAATGCTCTCACCCAACATAGCTATACAATCTACCACTCTACCCCACTGCATGGAGTACTCCAGCCTCTTGTCACATGGTCTCCTCTCACGTAGACTGTGCCACAGACTCCCATCCTGCCATGTGTCCTACTCTAGGCCCTGCTTTATTCCATACAGACCATGCTGCAGACTCTATTCTGTCACATGGTACACTCCAGCCACATATCACATGGTCTCTGTTTTCTGTGACAAGAATTGTATACTTCAGATCTTCTCTGGTCAACCTAATTTTTTGTAGTTAAGAGCTTACCAGGGATTTTGTTAGGAACTATGTAAAGCTGACTTTATTTCTCTGTCTAGGAAATGAGGGACTCTGTATCTGTCCACCTGGTCCCATGGGACCCCCTGGTCCCCCAGGACCTCCTGGAAGACAAGGAAGTAAAGGAGACTTGGGGTTTCCTGGTTGGCATGGAGAAAAGGGTGATCCAGGCCAGCCTGGTGCTGAAGGACCTCCAGGGCCACCAGTAAGTAGCTTCTACTGATCATAATCTCTCCAGTTAAACAAGACAGACACAGAGAGAACTTAGTGTGCCTCTTTCTAACTTTATGTGTTATACATTTTATGTTTTGAACCTATATGCATCTTAATTACCAAACACTTTCGTGTATCCATCCATCCATCCATCCAACCATCTATCCATCCATCCACCCATTCTTTATTCATTCATTTATTTAAGTAATTACTATTTATTAAATGTCTACTATGTCTCAGGCATGATTCTAAGTTTCTAGGGATGCAACAGGGACCAGAATAACATGTGAAGTTCTGAAGCATTGGAAAAGACCCAGACTTTATAGTAAACAAGTTAGTAACTATACAGTATTGCTATACTGCTATGGCAAAAGGCCATAGTCATATGGGGAGACTTGAGTGGACAAAGTGAATAAGAGTCAGCACAGGAGTTCCCAGGTTTCATTCCCAGTGCACATGTACACACATACATACACACACACACACACACACACACACACACACACACATACACATATACACATGCACACACGGACACACATAAACATACACACACACACGCATGCACACACACACACGATGACCAGCAGTTAGGAAAGGCTTCGGAACTTGGGGCTTTGCAGGTGGGTCAGGCTTGAACCTTCTAAAAGGACATGAACAGCCTGGGGAGTCTTCTGAAGAGAGAGGTAAGACTCTAATATTCACTTTAGATGAATCACCAGTAACTCTGTGGAGATGAGACCATAGGCAAGGGAGGACACATGATGATTAAGTGGAAGGTAGCCGAATGAAGAGGCAGTGTTGTGTGGTAAGAGGAAGTCAGCTCTAGACAAAATTTGACAGGAGAACCCAAGGATTGGCTAGTAGGTCAGATACACAATACAAGGGAAATTGAAGTTGACATGGAACTATGTCCTTTGTCTGAGCCACTGGAGGAAGGCAGTTGCCTTTGATTAAGATGCAGACTCTGGGAAGACGGGCATTCAGTGGGAAATAGCACAGAACTCTTTGAGACATTTTAGGGTTGAGTGATAATTAGACAAACAAAATAAAGTGCCAAGAGTCTGAGGGCTGATAGTTAACTCAAGGACTCAGAGGCGAGGACTAGGCTGGAGGTTGGGAAAGCAGCTTAATTGGAGTCTATGTGATGTTTGATGTTGTGGAAGAGATGGGTGTGAGGAAGTTACAGACAGACTCAGACACAGAATGAAGATATCAGAATCACTCTGTCCAAAAGGTCCTTGAACTGAATGAAAGAATCCCTTGCTGTGGTGACCTAGATGAACTATAACCCACAGTCAAAGATTCCTGAGACGCCAGTCCACATGAAATCTATCCATCACAATACGGTGCTTACTTGCTGACGCACAGCTTTCCATCTGTCTGATCCCTTCAAATCACATCACTGCTCCCAGGAGTCCTCCCCTGGACTCTGGAGACAGCCTGCTTGTTCCTCTGTGCTGGGGTGGCCTGTGACTCAATTCTGAATTTCCCAAATCATTCTCCCTCTCTCCTAAAAGAATCAAATGAAAATGAAATTCTGATCTTCAGTGACAGTGATAAGTCGGCTCTCCAGCTTTACCCTACCCTCAGCATGCCCGCAAATCTGGCCCAGCAGGACATTTAAAGGCTAGAGCTCAGAGCGATCAATCCTTAATGCATGAGTAGGGTGCAAGCATGCTAAAATTATGTTGCGCTTTATATATTATAGCTCATTTTATAAAATCTAATTTTTAGGTTGCTACTTAATCTTTTTAGTGACTCTAAGATATTGTTGTGACTTTCTGTTTAGTTGCTTCCCAGGGCTAATGTTTTTGCATTGTGGATGACTAGATTGCTCACAGCCAGGTATTATTAATTCAGTTGTTCTAGGACTCATTGGGTTGACTATATTTCTGATGTCCTCTCTCTCTATTACATTCATCAGACTGTGCTTAGAGATGGGGACCAGGAAACACCATGGAGGGAAAAATTCTTATTTCCCTTCCTCTTTCTTATCAAGTTCCATTAGCACCACTGTATTCCCTGACCGCTTTCCCCTCCTTCAGCTCCGTGGAAGCTTCTATGTTACCCACCCTCTTTTCCGCTCTCATTTTCACAGATCAAAGGCTAAAGTCATTTAAAATAGCATTGATGATGACACATATTTATTTAGGATGCAATTTTACTTAAGACTCATGGTGAGGTTGCATTTCAATATAGAATTCTCATGTATCATTTCCCCAGCTTTTAAAAAAGATTTATTTTTCAAAAAATTGTATGTGTATTCATGAGTACCTGCATGTATGTATGCACATCACACACATGTATGTATGTGAATCCTGTGCATGCCTGGAGCATGTAGAGGTTAGAAGAGGAAGTCAGTCCCCTGGAACTGGAGTTACAAGGACTTCAGAGTCACTATGTGGGTGCTGCGGGCTGTCAAGTGTTCTCTCCAAAACCAGCAAGTGCTCTAAGCACTGAGCCGTCTCTCCAGCCCCTCTCCATGAGACCTTAGCCATGGGGAACTGCTCAGGGAAAAGAGGCATTGATACATTGCTGCTAACCCAGATACAAACTTTCCATCGATCTTAGAACCAAGAACTTGTGGTTTTTATGCAACAGAAACCACAGGAAGGTTCTGGAAGGCAGTAAAGGGATAAAACAAAGATTTTCAAGTCAGAATCTTTGAGCAGAGATTTAGAGAAGAAGAGAAGGTGTTAGATGGACGAGAATATAAATGACTTCTGCCCTGTCAGAATTAATCTAATGCACTGTTCTTGTTATTATTTTTATTTACCAAGGGAAGACCCGGTGCCATGGGGCCCTCTGGTCACAAAGGGGCAAAGGGCGACAGGGTTGTATCAAGAGTGAAAGGTGAGTGCCCGATGACTTAGCCCTCTGACATTTTGTGAATGATCTACGGGCATCCACTTGCATTGATTTCCCCTGTGACTGCAGATTAATTGTATATAATTTAGGATTGTTGAGATTGCCTAAAAAAGTATTTCCTGCCCTTCATAGAATGGTATGTCTATTAAGCACTAAATCTCCTGACTCTTATTTGAAATCGTAAATGTTCCTTTAGTGACATATTCAAAATCTTCATTGTGGTGAACTTGCCTCTGAAGCAGAACCTCTCTTCACTTGCCTTCTTCTGCCTTGTCATGTCCTCTATTAATCAATGGCATTTGAATTGCAAGTAACATATGCTTATCTGGGAGTTGTTTAGGGGAATAATATAGTTTATTGACCTACTGGACGAAACATGAAAATCTAGGTGCAGGGTTCACATTGGGACTAGCAGGTCTATGGTCTGGCACAACATCATGACACTGTCTTCATATCCTCATCTCCATTGGTCTGTGCCCAGTTGCTCTCACAAGTCTGACGAAATTCTCTGGCTACATGCCCCAGGACTACCATGTGTGAGACTGCTCTGAGTCCTTGAAATCAGAGGTGCCATGTCAGTGGTAGCAGAGGAATCACTTTAGAAAGAACTGTGTAGCTTAGGGCAAGAATCTAATGGCTAACTCCCTCATCCACTAAGACTAGGGTTAGAATGTTCACATCCTGTCACTGAGGCAGAAAGTTTCCATGACCCATCCCTCCACAGGTCACCTCTTTGCTAAAATGGGAGGAGCAGCATTTCCCAAGTAAAGAGAGACAGTAGTTTTTGCAGCTGCCTTTCTGCCCTTTGTTTTTGTAACGGTTTGGGTAACTTTGGGCAAGCAAGTCACTCAGGAATCTCGGCCAACCTTCAGAGCAAAAAGCCATTATTCTTATCCGGGATCCTTTCCTCTCTTCTCTTTCACTCCCTATGTATAAGAGCTTACAAGGCTTTTGCCTCCTTTTCCCAGGGCAAAAAGGAGAAAGAGGGCTGGACGGGCCACCAGGATTTCAGGGGCCACATGGACAAGACGGTCGGGACGGACATCCTGGAGAAAGAGGGGATCCTGGGCCGAGAGTATGTAGAGTTATGCTATAGAATTTAATTTTCTGATATGTTCATACAAACAAGACAGGCAACAGTAGGTCAGACTCACACACAGTAGGGATAAAGATTCATTGTATTTGTATTTTTACCCACAGACACAGAGGGTGGTGAAACAAATCTGGCTGGGTACCTTCTCATAAGGACAAAAGAAGCTGATTTCATAAAAAAAAAAAACCAAAAAAACAAAAAACTTCATTTGAGTTTTTCATTTGTGTGTGGATCTACCAATTGAATTAATTATTTTGTACTTTATATCTGATGTTAGTGGCTCTATACGTAAGTTTGTATCCTGTACCTAAGGTATAGTACAATTCACTTCCTGTGTTTGAGGCATAGCATGATACATCCATATCCGATATATGTATGTAAGTGTTCCAAGTATGTATGTAAAATATTAGGAAAAATTTAAATGAACTCTTTTAAGTCAGACTTCCTGCAGCTGTTTTTTAAAATCGGGGAGTTTAAACATGTAGACTTCCTTGAGTTCATGGGCTTTGAAAGATCAATAATTGACATGTGACCTAACATTCCCAGGGGGACCACAAGGATGCAGCCCCGGGTGAGAGAGGGCTTCCAGGACTGCCAGGCCCTCCAGGCAAAACAGGACCAGCAGGGCCTCCAGGCCTGGGATTTCCAGGCCCACCAGGAGAGAGAGGCCTACCAGGAGAGCCTGGGCACCCAGGCATGAGAGGCTTTGATGGCATGAAGGGACAAAAAGGTACTTTTGGATATTTGCATGGGATGATATTACTTGAAATCATGAACACTGCAGTGCATTTCTGCTGAGCACAGAGATCACATGTGGCAGGCAGGCTAAATGAATTCATCCAGGTGCCGTGGAAAGCTTGCAGGGTGTCCATCAACCAAAAGCTTTTTTAGCACAACCAATCTTTAGAGTGAGTCCACAGAACGCTACTCTCTGCTGCTTCGTTTGTTTGACATGTCCAAAGTGCTTTTTATTCATTTCTCACTATCCACTCCTAAAGTCCAACTGTATTTAAAGCATTCCTATGCATCCAAAGTACAATTAGTTTCACAATCTTTTGACATAATGTGAATATACTTTAATAAAAGATACACTAGTATTTCATTTATCAAAATAGTATCCATGGAAACACATTTGTAAGCATTTCGGGGAGAGGAAAAATGATGGCATTTTAAGCATATTTGACAGACATATAAACTTCAAAAAAATTACTTTCAGGGTTATGACAGAACAAGGTTTAATTTAAGTTTTTTCTTTGGTAACATGTATTATACCTTGGGCTACAGCGTTAATTTTGAAGTTTGAAGATAAAATACTGTCTTTGGCTCTTGTTTTGACAACACATAAAGACAAATACTTTTATATTTTATAGGAAGTAACTTTGTAATTTAGAAAAGTGTAACATCACTTTTCTTTATCTCTCTCTCATTTTAGTTTGAAAGTACATGAATTAATAACTGTGAGGTATTGTTATAAAAATGGAACTTTTGATTTTCATAGGACATGAGCTCTCAGAGGGACAAGCTTTGAATCACTTTACCAGTTAGACTGGCGACAACAGTACCTTCATTGCTGAGTCATTGAAAAAACAAGACACAATGAAACCTATGGACCTGCCCCATAGAGCTCAAAATGGCTGTTACTGATACCCAACCTAGTCTCCTCATTTGCGCAGCTCCCTAGTGTCCAAACTAAGAGCAAAACTAGCTTAACTTAGTACCAAGTGTCATGGCTTCCCCACGATCTATGAACATTTTCTCTTCATTCCATCAGAATCTGTGGGCCTACAAACTACCATTTGTACTAATAATTTACATTTTCCCAGTTTATTAGAACGATGGTTTTTAGACTCTGGCTATTCTTATAACTGCTTGTAACTATTCTGACAGCTGAGATTCAGGGTTAAGCACAGATCCAGAAAGTTTATCTAATGATGCTTGGGGATTTTTCTTCTGTTGATCTCTAACGCACCATATGGAAGTCGGCATAGAGACTTGTGTCCATTTGGTGCAAGCAGTTATCTAAATGTGGCTTTTCTGTTTCTCCCCAGGTGACTCCATTCCGAGTAATGCAACCTACCCAGGAAGACCAGGTCTGCCAGGTTTTGATGGACCTCCAGGTATCACCATGCAAAGGTTTTGCCTTACACACTTCCCAGAGATTAAAAAATAAGAAGAAGAAAAAGAAAAAAAAAACCCAAGAAGATAGATAAGCTCACAGCAGACCCTCGAATCCAGGATACCTCTAAGATTAGTATAAAAACTTGAGGGACAGGAGACTGGGGACAGCCTTACAGTCACGAGCTCTCAGGCCTTCCCTACTTGTCTTGAATCCCTTTCATGGACTTTTCCAGACTCCGAATGCCTTTGTTTGATCACCTATCAGTTCATATGTCTGGCCTTGAGAATCCTAAAGCTATGTCCTTTATCTCTTCATGTGTACCAAGAGTGAAAATGTCACCCTCCTGTGGACTGTCCCTTCCAAGAAGGACAAGTTCTGACTAGACAGAGTCTAAAAAGTGCCTCTGTATCAATGTCTCTGAATACACATTCATGCATCTATTCCATTTGAGTTAATCCCTGGTGTTTAGCCAAATTAAACCCCAAATCTATAGCAACTTCTTTAAAGTTAATTTAAATTAACTTAGTGCTAGCACGGTTAGTAAACATGGCTCTCCTGGTCAACACAAGGATAGAAAGGGCTGGGAAGATTGCTCAGTCAGTAAGATTCCTGCTGTGGAAGCATAAAGAGAACCTGAGCTCAGATCGCCAGCACCCGTGCAAAGAGCTGACCTATACAATGTATATGTGTAATCCCAGGACTGGGGAGGTGGACACAAAGGATCTTGGGAACTCTAGGAAACCAGTCTAGCTGAATCTGGGAGAAAGAAAGGGTGGGAAGTTACGTGGGAAGGAGCTGAGAGACACTGCAGGAAGTGTAACTGATCAGAATATTCTGTATGAGAAAATTATTTTCAATAAAAAAGAACCAATAAATAAACAGGTAATAAATAAATAAATAAATAAATAAATAAAAGGAATGAGAGAGGAGGTTGACATTGCTCTCTGGCCTCTGTACTCATGGTTGCAAACAGGACACACACATGACACACTATGTACAGGATGAGTTATGTGCTGCTGTCTTCTGGAACCATTGTATCCATCATGGGGTTTCCAAGTAGTGTTGGAGTTTCAGTGAGCTGTAAACACACACTTGTTTTCTCTCTTGTGACCCTGAAGAACAGTGGGGGCTCAACTGATCCACAGCAGTGTGTCTTAGGGTGACCCTGGTCTTAGGTTAGGTTCAGATCAGTCTTATTGCAGAGCCAGGGTGTGCCCTTTGCATGGGATTTCAGGAATGTAAGAGGGCAGGACTGCTGTCCTCACCCCTCAGATTGCAATGTGCTGTTCATATCTCACTGGCCCAAGCAGTTTCTCTTTTATAACTATATTCATATATATGGATGCATATATATGAATAAATATATATATATATATCGCATTGCAAAATAAAATCCCATTGCATAAAGAATAACTAGGCTTATGGGGTTGTATTTCAGACATGCCACAGAAGGCACTAATATTTAATGAATGGTGGTGTATGCGTGAAAAACTGCCAGAAGTACTTCACAGTATAGATTATACGAAAAACCACTCTGATACATTTATCTGGAGCAATGACTGCAGAATGCTTCTGTAAACCACACTGAAAAACTTCTGGAGGACAGAGAAGAAAGGGTTTATTCAGTTCACACTTCCAGATCACAGTCCATCATCGGAGGAAGTTGGGACTGGAACTCAAGCATGACTAGAACCCGGAGGCAGGAGCTGATGCAAAGCCATGGAGGGCTGCTGCTTACCGGCTTGTTTCCCGTGGCTTGCCCAGCCTCCTTTCTTATAGAACCCTGGCTAGTTGTCCTGGAAAAATTTTTACTTCCATAAAATCGACATACTCCAAAAGACAATTAACACAGACATTTCAAAATCCCCTTTTCTGTTATTCCTACTGGTTTGTTTCTGCATTGTTGAATCTTTGGTTTATTTGTTCTTACTTAGGTCTGAAGGGGTTTCCAGGACCCCCGGGGGCTCCTGGTATGAGATGTCCAGATGGACGGAAAGGCCAGCGGGGCAAACCAGGAATGTCTGGAATTCCGGGCCCACCTGGTAAGTGAAAGCTTTTCTCTGCCTTGGGAGCACCTGCATCAGGAACTTGTGCATATTCTTAAAGCTGGACACCATTAAGAAAATGGCTAGAGGATCTGAAGATAATGGAAGAATGGTTCTCTGGATAGACTGGGGGACACAGACTCTCAGCTATGTTGTGACAACTTGCAGAGGAAGATATGCAACTGAGGCTCCTTCCCCAGGGAAAGCCTTTGCTGTTGGCTGTCACAAGTTCACTGTGTGGTTGAAAGCACTCAGTCCAGAGTAGTGTCTGTCAGATGAAAACAGTGGTCCCGGGTCTGGTCAGAGTGGAACCCAGCTGCAATCCCAGAACACCAGATGTGGAGGCAGGAGAATCACCTTGAGTTTTAGGCCATCCTGAAATATGTACTACAGGCAGCTTGAGTTACACAGTGAGACGCTGTCTCAAAAATACAAATAAATAAATGTAAAAATAAATTTTTAAAGGGAGGATGGCAACATGGCCCAGTGAGTAAAACTTGCTTGCCACCAAGCCTGATGACTTGAGTTCCATCTCTGAAAGACCCACAAGTTGTCCTCTGGCCTCCAGGTGTGCACCTGCCTGCCTCCACAAATAAATAAAATTATACAGATAAGACAGCAATAATAACAAAGCAATTGCTGTCACTAATAGTGTGGCAAAAAGCAGTATTACCTATGGAGTCTCTGAAGTAATTGAAATGTTACTTATTAAGTGTCTCTTAAGAGTGCTTATAGTTTTCAAAATATTGCCAGACCTATATTTGCACATGTAGCAGTTTGTTATTGTTGTTAAATAGGTTTTCGTGGTGAAATGGGAGATCCAGGCATCAAAGGTGAAAAGGGGGCCTCCCCTATTGGACCCCCAGGCCCACCTGGGTCTCCTGGAATGGATGGCCAGAAAGGAATCCCGGGAGACCCTGCATTTGGTGACCCAGGACCCCCTGGAGAGAGGGGTCTTCCAGGAGCACCCGGCATGAAAGGACAGAAAGGTTACCCAGGATGCCCAGGGGCTGGAGGTATGAGGTCTTTGTTCTCACCTTGTTGTAGGATGTCTGCTCAGCTTTGGCTCAATCCAAAAGGAATGCTTTGTGCTTTAGGCATTGAGTGCATGTACATCTCATGTTCTCAAATGCACTGATGACATCGGATGATCCTGTATCTGCTGTGTCACCCATGTGCTTTACTGCTTGCTTGCAAACATAAGGCTACAGTGGCTCAGTCCACTCTGTTCTATCCAGGCTATGTGTTTGCTCCCAAAGCCACCAACAGCAAGGGCTGGTCAACCTGTCACTGATGTTGTCAAGCTATTGCAGTTAGCACAGACTGTGTGAGGTCTAGCCACTCAGGGCCTTAGCAGTGAGGCTTGGGGCTTAGCAGGCTTTATGACAGTCCAAAAGAAATCTGGAAAGATAATTGGCAAGCCCTCCCACCAAATGCACATTCATGCAGCACATGCCGGGAACATCTTATATTACTGTGTGTAATTCTGCTGCAGAGGTGGAGGATGGGAGAATTAGGAAAGCCTGTGGTCTCTTGTTTGCCTAGGCAACGTCTTTGTCATCTGAATGCTTATCAAGCAGCCCATATATCAAGGTGTGGCTTCTCACACTCACTTGGATCTGTATCTCAGATACGGAAATCCTTTCCAAGGGTTGTTAGTTCATGGAGCCCAGAGTCAGAATCAAATGGTTTATTTCTAGAGTTGACATGTATGAGGGATGTGATAGGCCATCTCTACAGTGTTAGCTCATGAAGGTGCCAAATGCATCTTATCATTTCAGGCCCACCTGGCACCCCTGGATCTCCAGGTCTCAAAGGTCCCAAAGGCAGAGAGGGAAGTCCTGGGTTTCCAGGGATCCCAGGCTCCCCTGGCCATTCCTGTGAAAGAGGTGCTCCAGGGATCCCAGGACAGCCAGGACTTCCTGGACCTCCAGGTGATCCAGGTAAGCGCCAGCAGGTGTCAAAACATGAAGTGCCTTGGTGTTCTCTACTAATAGTCAGGAAGCTTACCTCCTGTTCATGTATGGATGGATGTCCGAAGAAGCATGCGTACCAAGTCTAAGTCAAAGAACCTCCTCTTCCTCCTCTTCTCCCTCCTCCTCCTCTTCTTTCTTAATCATACTCTTCCTCTTTATTTTCTTCTTCCTCCCTCCACCACTTTCTCTCCCTCTCTCCCTTCCTTCCTTCCTTCCTTCCTTCCTTCCTTCCTTCCTTCCTTCCTTCCTTCCTCCCTCCCTCCCTCCCTCCTTCCCTCCCTCCCTCCCTTCCTTTGTTCCTTTCCTTCCTTTCCTTCTTTCTTCCTTTGTTTTTTTCCTTATTTCTTCTCCTCCTCCTCTTCTTCCTCTTCTCCCTCCTTCTCTTCTTTTCTTCTTCTTTTCCTCCTTCTCTTCCTCTCCTTCTTTCCCCTCTTCCTCCTCTTCTCTTTCAAGACCACACATAAGTACAATTTTGGGTTTTCATCTCTAAAGAACAGCAAACTGTATAATCTTCACTCATTCTTACAAAGGGTAACTATTCAGATGACCTGCCTTCCTTTGTATAAAGCATTCAGAGAAATATATTCTTAGCCAAATGAAAAGTTGCTCCTGACACTTTAGATGATGAATATTATTTTGTTCTTGTTTAAAGTGTCACAGTTACATAGTTTAAGCTCTCTAGAATATGTTTTTCCTGTGACTGCTTGAAGAAATTTTTAAGTTTTCATACCTAATTGTTGTACTATGTCTCAGGAGTCCCAGGTTGGAAAGGCCAGCCAGGAGACATGGGGCCCTCTGGACCGGCTGGGATGAAGGGCCTCCCCGGTCTCCCAGGCCTACCAGGAGCCGATGGTCTCCAAGGGCCTCCTGGGATTCCAGGCCCCATTGGGGAAGAGGGACCACCTAGTCTTCCAGGCCTAAAGGGTGAGTATTGCTCTTCCAGTCATTCTCCCAGTTTTACAAACTCAAAATCAACTGTCAGACCAAACTGGTTAGGTAAGACTTATACTAATATAACATCCTGTTTAGCCAGACTGTGCACTCCCTTCCGGATGTATCCTTTCTTATCTGTGTCATCCTTTCTAGTGGCAGAATATTGTGTCAGTTAATTGGCAAAAGCCTTGGGTTCACAGCACTAGGACACCTCAGCTCACAGGACCAGTCAGCACCGATGATATCATTAGGTCAGGACTAACATGTTTCACTTTGGATGGACCTCCGCTTCTATCCCTTCTCTTGGTTCTGTTGAAATATAGGATGAGTTCAGGATCCCCAAAACATCAACACTTACATGTTAGGTCAGTAGGATGAGAAATGGGAGTGGTCAGGGGTGGGGGCAGGAACACAGCTATTTAAGACCATAGTCAGGTTCCAAATGGTAACTCGCTTTCAGCATAAAGTGTTAGGCAGGGATTTGTATCACGGAATGACCAGGAATGTGAAAGAAACACGCTAGCCTTAAAGTGCTTCCCTAAAACTTCATGTTCTCATTTTGTCAGGACTCCCAGGGATGCCTGGCTTCCCTGGCTTTCCAGGAGAGAGAGGAAAGTCAGGCCCAGATGGAGAACCTGGAAGAAAGGGAGATGTTGGAGAGAAAGGCTGGCCTGGCTTGCAGGGAGACCTGGGAGAGAGAGGTGCCAAAGGCAAGTGGTTTTAACAACGCAGAGGGGCTGCGTGAGCTTGTTCCCTGTATGTAATCCAATGCTATTCATACGTCTCTGGATTTCTTTAGTTCTGTAATGTCATAGGAATTTATTTTTCTTGCCATTTCATCTTACTGCATGGAACTAAGGTAAATGAATCACTCTGTTGTTGAGACGTGAACAAGCGCTCCACAATGCAAATCCTTGATTTGTAGACATAGGACTTCCGAGACCTTGCTCAGCTGGTGGTGAATACCTGTAAAGAATGCCGCAGGCTTTGGGGGCCCATGTGGCCTCTGCTACAATAACACATGTTGGCCGTAACACCCGAAAACCACCCAAGACAACACACCAACAAGATATATTTAAAAGATGGAACAGCATTTTAGTTATGGACAATGAAATGTGATTTTCATATAATTTTCCCAAGTTCTTAATTTTCATGCAATAATGTTTGGGGTTTTACATTTTGAATCCTGTTTCACTTAGCCATTTACAGCATAAATGTTTTCTCTGGCCTCTCAGTTACTGCTACAGGAGAGAAAGTAACATTTCTAGCAATGAAAAGACAGTCTTTAGAGGGAGTAGTTTTAACTCTTAAAGTGCTCTGTGAACATGGCCTCCAATTTCATTCAAATGACCTTTTCTTCTCAGCTGATTTCATATTTGCATTGGCTGTGGTCCTTGTTCTGTTAGCTTATAAGCTCTTTATACAGAACTAAGGAATTGAAAATTATAAGTATCAAAAATCTCTTTGCTATATAAGATAGCTGATACTTGCAGATATTTCATGTTATACTATTAAACAGTTATTCCACCAAGAATTAAAACTTGGATCAGTGCCAGCACTGCAGTTGTAAACCAGCTCTCCCATGATGCTCCCTGAGGAAAATTCTAGCACTGACATCGTATGCTGATTATGGTCGTGTAAAGATGACCACAGCACCATAAACACGCATGACTGCTGATGCCACACAACTAATGGTAGAACAGTTGGTTCTCAGAATTCTCTGTTAACAATCAGTTGTCGCCATGCTGGTCTGCCGAGCCTGTCTTGACACACTGCTCTGCTTGGCTAGTGTTTACAAATAAGCTGGAATATGGGATATGGCTCCTAGTTTTTGGAAGTTCATATGCGGAGAATCAGGTTGAAATATGTGTTTGTCCTTTTAATGTAAGGAGCAGAATAAATGATGGTGAGAGAGAAAGGAATGGCTCACTGAGCATGCTCGATGGATGATTTGGATTCAATGGGATAAACCAACAGTCTGTGGATTAGAACATTCTGAATGTCTTGACTCACGGAGGACCCTGAGACATTTGGTTGAAAACAGAACTTTTACTGAGTACACAACTGCTCCTTGTCCCAGGCATGGATAAAGGATGACAGGAAGATATTTTTCAATCCCTGATATAGAGAATGAGAGATCCATTAATACAGCTTAGTGGAGGTAGATGGAGTTTTATTAATGAGGTGAAATTTTGTAGAAGACGAGCTACATGTGTAGTTTGTGTATGTTTGTGTTTCTCTCATATAAGTAATATTTACAGGAGACAGAGGACCTCCTGGTGATGCAGGAGAAGCAGCCATTTCCAAAAAGGGGGAGCCTGGGGATGCTGGGCCTCCAGGAGATGGTGGATTCTCAGGAGCAAGAGGTAAATGCTTGACATCTTTCAATCTTATCACGTAATTTGGCTTTTTATAGACCATTCAGGAAAGGCAATATGTTAGGCAACTTTCTTTCCAACAAGGAACTAAGGAAATGTATATTTCTTAAATATAATCATATCCTGCTAATGAGTTTCAGGAATTTTTTGGCTTTTCCATGCTAAATGTAGTTGGAGTTCATATGTATTTATAGAATTATATATTCCAAACAAGGACCATTACTAGGTATACACAATAACTAGTTCCCCTCTGGGGAACTAGTGTGTTCCCCTCTGGGGGAAGCTGGTGTGACTATCTGGGGGCTGCCTGTGTCATTTTACCCAGCCTCTTTTGAACATCGTTTTGTTTGAGACCTTGTCTAAATTCAGATCCTTGATCTGCAAATTTAGGGCTAACAGGGACCCCAATTTTTCTAACCAGCATCCTGATGTCATGCTGCTGGTCCTCAGAAACATAGCAGAACAAGGATTTTGACAACTGAATCTGCAGTCTTTCTCATGTTCAAGGTTAATCTGCATGGGTTATATATCCTGGACTTCTCTTTAGCTAGTCAGTTGAAAAACGTGTTTTTAACTTCTCTGGGTTGAAATTTTCCTGATTTGTAAGGTGTGCATGCTGGAGCAAATGACCTTGCCTGCTCTCTCTTTCCACCGGTGGTTTCGAGTCTATTCCTGGACAGCTTCTTTCCTAGTGAGGCTGCCAAAGACAGGAACCGCAAAGATGTGGCTTTGCCTAGAAGCCAGCATCCCAATTTCATTGTCTTCATCTCTTACAAGTAGAATCAAGTCATTCAATTCAGTTTTCACTCAGTCTAAGATTTCGGCCAAGGGGTTTGTAACACTGCCGACCTCAACAGGTGATAAAGGAAGCCCAGGGATGCTAGGGGGAAGAGGAGAGCCTGGAAGAGATGGACCACCTGGACTCCACAGAGGGCAGCCTGGGATAAACGGGCCTCCTGGGCCCCCTGGCCCTCCTGGCCCTCCAGGATTACCTGGACTGAGAGGAGTCATTGGTTTTCCGGGATTTCCAGGTGACCAGGTGAGGAAGTGCTCCTGCAAGGGAGAAGTGAACTCTGCTCAGGATTCCACAAAAACCGTCAGAATTGGCCAGTATGTGCCCTTGTCATTTACTAGCTATTTGAAAGCTAAGAGGTGGCATGAAGGAAGACTAGAACATTCTGGACAGTTATGACATAACTGAGATTTCTGACCAGTGTTTAGAACTAGCTAGCCTGCTGTAGAGGAGCAAGTCATATGATTCACACATTCCAGCCCCTCCCCCAGGTTTAAATAACTCATAAAGTCTTGCCTCAAGATTGATGCTTTATCGGTACCAAAAAAAAAAAAAACCATTCTGAACACTCCCCAGATTCTAGTTTCTCAGCCTTCCCATCTGTTTGGAGATGACATATTTTTTCCTTTAAAAAAAATATACTTGGCCTTTATAATCATGAGTAACATTCCCCTTGAGAAACCAGAAAATATAATGTAGTGACATGTATCAAACTTCTGGAAAAAGTGTAACATAGTTGGCTTTCCATGTTTTGGAATAAAATGGATCTTTAAAGTTTACGATACAACACAGCTTTCAGTCTTTCATTTTATATTAACTGGTTTGTTCAAAGTGTAAATTCAAGTTGTATAACACAGTTACTCTTTAGTAATGGTGTCTAAAGAAGTCTATGCTTTTTGCTGGGGTGGATAGCTCTAACTCTGGAGGAGTTTCACCCACTCATAAAAGAGTATTATGCTTTCAAGACACTAACAATTTCCTTCACCACGGCCAATTACAAACACTAAGTTGGCTGCAGAAAACTGTAATGTGTTTGTGCCACAGCATGGAAAACCCAATGAGAGTCTTATTTTTGTTCCATTAATTGGCAGGGTGATCCAGGATCTCCGGGACCCCCTGGAATCTCAGGAGATGATGGAGCAAAAGGACCTAAAGGTATGGCTTGGAAAATGTTTCTAGCTAGCAAATGCAGAGTTCTGGGAATTCAAACATTTCGAGTGAGCATCTTGTTAATGATAAATTGCTTCACAAGTTAGAACTCAGAAGCAGCTCTTAGACTCTTCTAGACAGTGAGGCATGGAGGCTTCAGAGAGTTCTCATTTTCCACACAGGTCAAAGGGAACTAGATGGGATCTGGCATACCTACAGGCATCATGACTTCCTCTCCATGGAAGTTTCAGATGCTGTCTAGGTAGTGGCCACAGCTTCTCAAATTGCAGCTGGTACAAATGACCAGATCTGCATCTCTAGAGAGTGTCCCCATGTTCCATAAGAACAAGTCACTCATCTAAGGATTTCCTATGTCTAGCTACTGGGATTCTACTTATAAGAATCATCAAGCATAAATCACTAGATGTTAATTGTTTCTGAAAGAATTTTCTAGCCAGATGTAACTTATAATTGAGTTATTTTTATCCTTAATCAAAGAAAAGCAGTTTCTTTTTTTCCTAAAGGGCCATAACATAAGCTTTTTTGTTTGTTTGTTTTTGTAACTTTGTGGGGCATACAGTCTCAGCCATAACTACTCATCTACATCCCAATAAAACTTTATTTGAAAAATAGCTTCAGGCTGGCCCAATAGGCTGGAGCCTATCTTGTATCCAAAACCTTATTGCCTTGTAAACACAACTGAAATTATACTCTTAACAAGTCAAGGTCTGCAAAAAAGTGGAGTTTTATTTACCATTTGGATAGAAACATGCACATAAACAAAAGCCATGATATACTAAATGATTGCATACAACAGTCAAAAGTTTAATTGCTTTGGTAACCTCCACAGGCACCAGGTGTTCACACGGTACACATACACATGTGGAAGCAATGAACTCATACATATAGAATAAATCTTTTTTTAAAAATTATAAATTCCATTTTCACCTGTATATCCATGGTTCTCCTTAATGAACAAAATTAGTTTTTTAAAAAGTCTCTTTGAAAACATGAAGCTAGATTATGAAGACAATACCATGGAAATTACTGTATGAGACCAAATGATATGTTCTTAACTAATATTCTCTGTATTATGTCACTCACAGGAAACAAAGGTGACCCTGCCGGTCAGTGTGGTCTACCTGGTCCAAAGGGTGACCCAGGTAGCCCTGGATACCAAGGTACAGCTCCTGATTTTTCTTATTTTAAGAAAGAAAACCTAGTTTGAAACACAAAGTAATTACTCTTACACTTATCACTGGGAATGGTCTGTCAATATTTTCTTTACCATTTGTCCATTAAGGTGTGTACCAAAATGATTTTGGGTGGCACTGTTGTAGCATCCTTCACCCAGAACGATACCAGGACTGGGCACTGGGGACTCTCAATGTATCCCTACAATGGCCCCTGTAACTGATGGGATTGGCACAGCAATATATACCCCCGTGTTTGTATAATGACAAAGTGAATATTCAAGCAATTAAAATTCAGATTATCTTGTCATCTCTGTCATTTTGGATGGCCACAAGTTATTGTGGCAAACCTCTTTCTCCCACAGATAGCAAACAGCATCCTAGCAGACATGGAGAGTTCAAATTTGCACTTTTGCTTTGGGCCCTGAAGAAGCACGCATCAATATTTAAAATATGCTTGCTTTTTTGAACCAGGGATTCTTCTACTAAGAATATTTCAGAAAATAATAACCAGGAAAGTATAAACAGATGCACACACAGGGCTGTACACTAAATGGACAGGGCAGACATCTACTTGGTCAGAGAGTTGATTATGTCTACCTATGCTCAAGTGTAGTAGGAGTAAAACTTAAACCCAGGCTTGGGTTGACATAGCTTCCTGGGAAATTAAGACTTTGTATTTAGAATGCCATTGTCATGTTTTGCTTTCTATTACTGTGACAAACACCATGACCAAAAACAACTTGGGGAGTAAAGGGTTTATTTCATCTTATAGTTTATAGTCCACCATGAAAGGCAGTCAGGACAGGAGCTCAGGCAGGCACCTGGAGACAGGAACCTAAGCAAAGGCCATGGAGGGGTGCTGCTTACTGGCTTGTTTCCTATGGTTTGCTCAGTCTGCTTTCTTGTACAATCATAGACCGTTTGCCCAGGGGTGATACCATGTACAGTGGTCCAAGTTCTCCCATGGCAGTCATTAATCAAGAAAATGCTTCCACAAACATGCTCACAAATCTGATAGAAGACTCATATACATATATATAAAATTTATTTTTTTTCAAATTGTAATTTATACTAATTCACACAGGGGTTATAAACACAAAAAGGCAGGACGTGGGGAAGGGGATGACACTGGAGTGTGGGTGTTCAGGGGGAATACAGATATCTTTCAGAACCAGGTATCGGCTGGGTGAGGGTTCAGGGGACAGGTCACTATGACTCTGTCTATGACTCACTTGTCCTTATCTAAGTTGGTAATATCTGCCAAGGCTTCCTATTTACAAGGTCTATGACTACTCAGGCTGGTAAATTGTCACAAAAACTGCCTGTTTACAATAGCTTATAGCCATCTGTTTCAGTGTTTATCCACAGAGACCCAAGACTTGGTGTTAGTATACATGTATGACAGGCCTATTGCTGATTTTAGGCCTATGGCTGATTTTAGGCCATATAAAATGTATGTATACATTTTAGTGTATAAGCAGGGCTGCCCCTGATATCTCCTCCCTTCTCTAAGTATAGGAAAGCTGTGGCAAATCTAATCTTTCGAAGGCGGGGATAGAGGCCTGACCTCCAGTATTGAAGGGGACCTTGTAATGGCTCCGGTCCCCCTGTCGTTGTCCAGTGAGGCATGAGGGCCATACCCATCCTGATGAGGAGACTCTTATTTATTTATTTGGATATTTTCCTTATTTACATTTTAAATGCTATCCTCTTTCCTGGTCCCCGCCTCCCCCCTAAATCTCCTATCCTATCCCTCCTTCCCTTGCTTCTATGAGGGTGTTCCCCCACCCATCCATTCCCACCTTCTTGTCCTCAAATTCTCCTACACTGGGACATCAAGCCTTCACAGGACCAAGGGCCTCTTCTCCCATTGATGCCCAACAAGGCCATCCTCTGATACATATGCAACTGGAGCCATGGGTCCCTTCATGTGTACTGTTTGATTGGTGGTTTAGTCCCTGGGAGCTCTGAGGGGTCTGGCTGGTTGATATTGTTGTTCTTCCTATGGGGTTGTAGACCCCTTCAGCTCCTTCAGTCCTTTCTCTAACTCCTCCATTGGGGACCCTGTGCTCAGTCCAATGGTTGGCTATGACATCCACCTCTGTATTTGTCAGGCTCTGACAGCCTCTCAGGAGACAGCTATATCAGGCTCCTGTCAGCATGCACTTCTTGGCATCCACAATAGTGTCTGCGTTTGGTGACTGTATATGGGATGGATCCCCAGACTATTTCTTAATTGAAATTCCCTCTTCCCAGACTAAAAAAAAAAAAAAAAAACCTAACTAGTATATCCATGCATCACCTTGAAGTTCCATTTGGCAGGAGCCATGTTTTGTTTCCCCAAATAGAATGTCTAATTAGAACACCAAATGAAAGTCACTTGTAAACTGAAAACTCCACACACAGCATCACCGATGACCTCACTATTGTGATATCAGTACAGCAGTAAGAAATGTGCTCCCGCTTGTGGGTCTTTTTTTGTTATAAACCCTGATGATATAAACATTTCCAGGCTCAAAGTAGCACAAACTGTGGGCATTTTACATTACCTAGTATTTTAAGTTGGAAACCATAAGTCTGGGGTTATTTTATACTGAGTCAGGCTTTTCCAATTTTTTTTTTTTTGGCCTTACCCTGCTTGATCCAGTGTCCCGTGGTCATCAGTGTTTAAATTGTTCTAGTTTCTTATTTGCCATGGCTTAAGCTTAGAGTTTCAAGAACTGTTCTGTTGTTATTCTCCGCCACAGAGTTTGGATGCTCTGTTTTCCTTGGCTGGGAATCGATGCTCTGTGCTTGCATGAACTCAGTGCGGATGTATAGAGTATAGTGGGTTGTGGTCCAGGATTATGTAAGCTTGTACCGGGTCAGTCTAGTTCTATCCATTCACATCAACTCCGAGGGAAACTGAGTGCAAATTACTCCCGAAATTCTGCTCTCCACACAACCCTAACTTTTGAGGGACTGTTCTGAATGCCTGCTTCGGTGACTGGAGCTGCAGCGATGATGCCTTGTGTCCCTTGCAGGAAAGGGTTTGGGATCAATCAGATAATACAGACCAGGGTGAGAAGCCAGTACATTTGATTACTTAACAGGCACATGCATTGGTTACTTTAGTGTTGTAATGAATACTACCTCTCTGTGGATTCGGAAATACAAAGCTCTGTGTTTTGTTTAAAGATTCAGCCATGGATTTCTCAGTGTAGACTATTGGTTTACTATAAATTTGAATTAAAGTCACACATGTAAAGAAGCATATGGGAAAAAGGTTATATTTCTAGTAATAAAAAAATATAATTCAAAGTGTATCAGGGTTCTCTAGGGGAATAGAATCAATATGTTCTATATTACATATATAATATAATATAATATAATATAATATAATATAATATAATATAATATAATATATAACAAATATATTGCAATAAGGATTTGTTTGATTGGCTTACGCTGGAGAAGTTGGGTAGTCTAACAATACCTGTCTGATCTTCGAAGAGTCTAACTCCTTAGCTGCTCAGTTCATGAAGTTAGATGCTTCAGTAGTCCCAATACAGGATACTTGGAGAACTCCCATGATCCCCTCCTGCACACTCAGTTGAAGAGGAGGACCCTCCCTGAGAGAGGAGGACTGCTTTTTAATCAAGGCTGTATGAGTAGCTGTGCTCCTCTGCTAGAACCTCCAGGCTAGTAGCAAATTATCAAAAAAACAAGGCTACCAACCCAAAGTCTTTAGTGAGAACATGGCTTGTTCTCAGGGTGCTGTGGGTGGAAGATGGGGAGGGGGAAGGGGTGGAGGAGGGGTGCTGGCAGGCGCAGTACTTCCTTCCAACCACAGGCAATGGTCCATTCTAGAACACCTAGCGAGCACCTAGCCTTTCCTTAGGAAGTCTCAGTCATGAGAAAGAGACTGTTAGAGACTAATTGTTTTTAATGTTTCATTATTTTAATTTAAGAGATAGACCCATTAGGTACAATGTGCAGCTCTTGTGTAGACTTTAGTGAGGTTTTCTACAAGGATAACAAAGCAGGGTTGGCCCTGGAGTCAGGAGTGAACGGATGACTTTATGGATTGTTATTAATCCATTATTGTTTTCTTGGCTACCACAATATTGCTTTGGCCGCATAAGAAAGGTTATTTTTCAGGCTGATGCCTTGAAGCCTTTTGAGACGGTATCCCACAATGGTTATGTTTTCCTTTAAAATCTTCTGGCATTTGAAAACATATTTGAAGATAAACCCAAATATCACACTATTTGTCATGAAATTCTGCTCCTGAGAAATTTTTCCTAAGGAAATAGTTCAAAAGGAGAGCGCGTGGTTAACAATCTACAAAGGGAGAGGGGAGGTGGACATGATCAATGCATACATGTATGACATTGTCAAAGAATAAATAAAATATTTGCATATATAACGTTATGCATAACAGCAGAAAGAATTACAAGGGCTTGATTGATTTTCCCCTACTGGGCAGTAGAGGGAAATTAGATTGACTAGTTAAAGTAAGATTGATTAAAAAGCTACAGTTTGAAAGAGATAAACCATTGCAAACTTGAAAACTGCCTGTGATACAATGACTGTTTTAAAAACAGAAAATTTGGTCATCAAATTTTTCTCAATCGTGTCTTCCATATCGATCAAAAAAAGTGTAAATAAAGAACCAACAAAAACACCCCCGCAGAACAGAGAGTGAGGCTTGAGGTTGACTTTTGACAGTCACTGTTTCAAAGCAATCTACAACTAATTAAATTTTGGCCCTTCTTTCTTTAGGGCATACTGGAGAACCTGGAGAGAAAGGCTTTCCTGGAGATGAAGGGCCCCGAGGACCCCCAGGCAGACCCGGACAGCCTGGCTCTTTTGGATCACCAGGGTGTCCAGGTATCTTGCCAGAAAGCCTCGAAAATCCCTGAGCATTCATGTGACTTGGCGTACCAGAAAGAGCCGTTCTTCGTGTGGGTTCTTCGTGTGGAACCCTTTTTGCGTCCCATTCACCCTAAATCCAGTCCAACCTCACAGGGGTTTAAGAAGTTACCTCAAGCAGCATTGGCAAAGTGCCAGCCCTACACCAGGCAGTTACGCTGATAGCCTGTCACTTTTCTGTCTCCCATCCCTAAAGCAATGTCACATATACAGCTCAGGGTTTTAAATGATCCTTTTCCTTTCAAGTCAGCGGGGGCGGGGGGGGGGGGGGGGGGGGGTGGGAGTGGTGGTTGGGGGGAGGGAGGGTGGGCGCTGGCAAATTAGAATCATGATTGGCAACTTCGATTGCTTGTGAGTGTATCTTTTTGAAATTAAGTATTTGTTTCCTTAGGGTTAAAAATATCTAGAAAGAAAAAAATAATCCAACTGTGTCCCTGGTTACTCGTGCATTAAGAACACAGATGACCTTACCAGGGAATATTATTCACATGTCACTGTCAGAAAATTTCTCTCATGTTCCCAGGTGACCCAGGGATACCCGGACTCAAGGGTTATCCAGGAGAAGTGGGAGACCCCGGGCGAAGAGGTTATGCAGGAGATTTAGGGAGGCCAGGTCCTGCCGGAGTGAAAGGTAAGTAAGGAGAAGGCCCAGCTATCCAGAAAGGTCCAGCTCCTTTTTTGGGCTGGTGGGTCTGCTTGATCGGACCCATCTCTCGCCAGTGCTATCAGCAGCTCCCTCTGACCCCTAGGGCTTGAGGTCATGCCCATCTTTGCTTGTCCTCCCTTGAGGAAGGTCCAGGATCTTGGTGATTGCATCCTATCTCTTCTGAGGGCATGTTGTTTGTGTCTGTCATGATGGTCTCTCGTCCTCTCATTCGTCTCCACAGATTATCAACCGTTTATGCCCTAGATTCTTTTGGGTTAAGTGTTGGGTGTCATTTTAAAGAAAATATATGTGATTCCAGCCTTCATGAGCTGTTGCCTAAGAAAAACAGGTGTGGTCTCTAACACAATAGCACTCGGGTTAAGCTTCTGGGTGCTTAATGCCTTACATGTGAATTATATTTTCAGAAATGAACTCTTGAGACATATGATCCACGTCTGAACCATAGCACTAGGGGTGGGACGCATTTGAACCCTGAGAATTGGCAAGGAGGGCATCAGGGAGTGATCTCCGGGACCCCCACCACCATAAATGAAATTTCAGAATTAAAGGCATGCTTGCCTGTATTAAGTTACTAGGTAGATAGATAGATAGATAGATAGATAGATAGATAGATAGATAGAGACAGACAGACAGACAGACAGACAGACATAAAAAAGTGAAAACAAAACATCTCTAAGGTCAGCCTTGAACCCTGTGGGTAAATTACTCTCTGGATAAAGCAGAGCTGTTGAGTGGTGGAGAGATAAAAGGAGACATTTCAGAGGCCCTGGAATCTCTCATCTAAATTTGATAAGGGCATCCAGTCATAGAAGGGATGCAGCCTAGCACTCAGGTCGCCAGGTATAGCTTAACTCACAGAAACAGCTCGACCATCATTCAACTCTTCAGACACCAGCTATGATAAAAAGCTTAGAATTGCACCAATGTCCATGTCTTGAGTTCCAAGGTACACTGTCTGTCCATCACACTTATAGAGTGTATAGACCACCTCTTTTTGCGTGTATATAACGTCAAAAATGCTGCCTTTAATCTTGCTAGTCCATGATATGAAATAAATGCACAATAACAAGAACAAAATGCTTTCAGCATTGTGTGTATTGACGAAGAAAACATTCAGAAATAGGAGAGCAGTGCACCAGACATGGATACAGGGGAAACTGGTGGACGTTAAAGTATCTGTATACATCAGTGTATGTGTACTGATTGTGGTAAGGGGTAAGAAGGTAAGGCGGTGTTCCAGAGAAAGTACCCACTTAAATTATATGCACTTCCTTTGTTAGATATGGAAACAATTGTCCTGGTTGTAGTTTTTGGCTTTTAGAGTCAATACTGGTCTGATTATTGGTCTGGACAGGGTATAACAAGGTACAGCCCAGAGTGCTTACTGTTAACAAATATTCATGTCCCTGTGTTCTTCTGTCTCCCCTTCCCATTGGTCTATTTCTCCTAATCTAGATAAATGCTTTTTCTCTGTGCTCTAGCATAACACCTGCACAGGACTTTCATACCAACAGAATGGAACTTTTTGAAAGCAAGACATTTCCATATAATGCCCTTGGTATCAGTTGATACACAATAAGTATTTTGTTTGATGAATACGTAGTTATGAAGTCAGGGGCCAAACAGCAGGGGAGGGCCAGACTTTCCTTGCCTGCCTCTGACAAGTTAGCTCTGCCTCTTCTTTTCCTCCTTT